GTCAATTATGTGATGGTACTAGTAAAATAAATACTAGATGCGTCTAATTCCTGACGGTACTGACAAAATGTAAAATATGTCATATGCGTCAATTCCGACGGTAGTGACAAGATGAAAAAATGTCAGATGCGTCAATTATGTGATGGTACTAGTAAAATAAATACTAGATGCATCTTATTTCTGACGGTACTGACAAAATGTAAAATATGTCATATGCGTCAATTCCAACGGTAGTGACAAGATGAAATGCATTCTGATGAAAATAGTAAAATAAATGCTAAAAGCGTCTATTTTCTGACTGCACTGATTATAATAAAAATCAGGGCATTTATTTTGATGGTATTAGCATACTAATAGTGTCAAAAGCGTTTATTTAGATAGCACTGATTTTGCTTATGCATTTTATTACATGCATATACACGAGGCACGTATCTTACACTCAGCCACTGAGCAAAACGAGCAGCGAAGGAAAACATTACAGAGGACAACTCCGTCAACTTTGCATTCTTAGCTATAGAGGGTCAAAATATTACAAGATGTGATGTCTAACTGTATTCCGATATTCACTGTTAGTACTGAAAAATCTATAGTAGACATGACAAACTATAGATTTTTAGTACTGATTTTTAGTAGTGAATACTGAAACGTAGCTACATTCTAAAAGTCTCGCTTGCTCCTCTTACGTGTCGCGCTGTCTTTTCAGAAATGTAGCTGCATGCACCAAGCGTCAGCATATCTATTATTATACAAAAAAGCTATGAACAATATAAATTCTATTCAAGCGACTCAGCAAGTTTCTGACAGAAAAAAGACAGAGCGAACTATGCGAGAGTAGATATTAGAGCGACGAGAAATAGCGCGATGTTTTGTAGCTGTTTCACTCGCACTCTCTGGATTAGCCGTTGTAATGTTTTCTCTCTCTATCATTCAGCTCGCGCTAAGGATGCAAGATCAGAGGTCTGCCCTCCAACTTCTTCTTTACTTGTGGCGACTTGTAGTTGCCCATCTATACGACGACACAGTCTATGGTCGTCGGTGGCGCTGTCCGAGCGGGAACAGAATATGTTAGTCGTAACTCGCCTGTGTCACGGTCAAGACCGATCACCTTACCGTGTACCAAGATCTTAATAAAGTTCATATATATCTCCAGTAATTGTGAGTGGATTATTCCCGCCTTCGCAACCAGCTATCGGCAAGGAAGTATTGTGGGCACTTCAGCCGGGCTGTAAATACATCGACTAGGCCCCACAATTGGTGACCCCGACGTGATGCGCATCCGCGCATTTCACGTTCGCATCGGCGGAAGAAAGATCAACGGCGAGGCTCAGGTCCTTTCCCCCGCTTTCTGGGATTGACCTGCAGCACGAAGAGGACCTCATCCACGCCCTATCGGCCCTGAGGATCCTCAGACTGCCCGAAATAGTGGCATCACCGACGCCTGGGCAAGTCCATTCTTCGGGCCCTTCAGAAACTTCGGGCGAGTCTACTACCGCCCGAGGGAGGCCATTTTGGGCAGCGCAAGGCCGGCCGTTCCCCGCGCACGGACTCAAGTCGGCGGGATCCCGCCCAGAGGCATCTCCGACGACGCGGCCGAGCCAGGACGACGCGGCCGAGCCAGGTTAAGGGCGCACCCAGGTCAGTGCACTACTTGTGCCGGCGTAGTCATCCCGGTGGACGCGCATTCCGCGCAGTCATATCGGCGGACTACTTCGTGCCGGCGTAGTCATCCCGGTGGGCGCGCATCCCGCGCAGTCACCCCGGCGGACTACTTGGTTCTGGCGTAGTTATCCCGGCGGACGCGCATCCCGCGCAGTCATCCCGGCGGACTATTTCGCCCGGGCGCAGTCATCCCGGCGGGCGCGCTTTCCGCGTAGCCATCCCGGCGGACATCTTCGCGCTTACGCAAGCATCCCTGCGGACGCGCGCTGCGCAGCCATTTCGACGCACGTGACCGGCCAACGGGTCCATACCGGTTAATTCTCCCGTCGTTCCCGGAATCTATAAACGGGAATTGGCGTGCCAACGGGACTATACCGGGACTAAAGGTGGCTCTCTGCCATACTGTGGCGTACAGCACACCGTGCAGCACACGGGACCATACCGCAGCGCACGGGACCATACCGTTAGCGCGCGGGTCTACACCGGACCAGAGTTACGGGATGTGTTTCACACTCAGCCTGAGTACGGGCACACAGTCGCAGGGCGTATGAGGTACATCTAGGCAGCGCAGCCGGCGAGACCGACGTCCGACGGAACGCGGGTCAGCGCCTCTAACCTCCTTTCGCCGACATCTCGGGTTCGAGCATCACCTCCTTCGAGGGACGACGCCTCTTCAAGAACTTCGAGCACGTGAGGCACATGCTTTGTCTCGTATTGGTATTTCTCCTCAGTTTCATTTCTTTTGTTTCGTTTATTTTCGAATATCGATTCGCGCCCCGTGGTTTAAATATGACGGAGGAAGACGCGCGCGTAGAATCGTACCGGGTGCCGAAGATTCCGCCCTTCTGGCGACAGGCACCGGAGGACTGGTTTTTGCGAGTCGAAGCGTCGTTCCGAAACGCGAACATTACTGTCAGTAGTACTAAAGTCGATTACCTAATCGCTGGCCTCGATCCAGAGGTCATTTCTCATGTCCGGGATCTAATCACGGCGGACCCGCCGCCCGCTGATTTGTATAAAGTGCTCAGGGATAGGATTCTTGCGACGTTTGCGGTCTCACCGGAGGCCCGCTTACGGCAATTGCTTAAAGGACAGGTTCTGGGGGACCGGAGACCCTCTCATTTGTTAAGTCAGATGAACCAGCTCAACGGTGGTCAATGCAGTTCCGCCGTATTAAGATCTCTCTTTATTGAGCTGTTGCCTGAGACGCATAAGACGATTCTCGTTGCTACTAATGAACCTGATCTGCAAAAATTGGCAGAGATCGCGGACAAGCTCGCGGATATTAACGGACCTAGTTCCGCTGTCGCCGTCGTCGCGCCTAAGAAAGAATCCCGAAGTGCTCGTTCTAAAGCTCCCTTGAGCACTGACGAGCGGATCGACAAGCTTACCAAGCAGATCCAATCCCTGAGCACCTCGGTCGCAAAGTTGCGCCGAGATAGGTCTTCCTCCCGCAAGCGTAATGATAAGCGTGGTGATGAGGCAGATAAGCCCGATACTAAGGTAGGCTACTGCTTCATTCACCGTAAGTACGGGAAAAAGGCCACGTCGTGTCGCAAGCCCTGTTCTTGGAAAGAAGACGCGACGGAAAA